TTCCTGAAGCCAACTCTTCAGACAAAGATTAGACTGGACTATAAGACATAAAATGATACTCGTGAAGAGTGTGCTTCTTAGTTCAAGTAGATACATGAGGCTAAATGGGCCGCTCCTGTCCAGAGGCGGGATGAGAAGACTGAAAGGGACAGGAACTGGTTGGATGGACGCCGGAAACCCGGGGTGAAAGGGGAGTGTGGTGTCACATTGTGGAGATTGCAACCAGTGTCACATAATAAAATATATATAAATTTTTGTATGAGAAATTAACTTGAGCTGTAAACTTTCACCTAAAACACAGTTAAAAAAAAAAAAAGCCACACTGCTGATTTTCTGCTAATTGTGGTCCAGAGCCTGGGACTTCCTAGTAGAGTTGACTTTCAGTGCTGCTGATCTGAACCTGCTGAATGGGATTCCCAGGGATGCTGTCCCTGTGAGCACCACTTCTGCTCTGGCCTGGGGCACAGCCCTCAGCCTGGGGTGATATGAGGCTCTTTACTACTTGATGCCCTCAACACGTGCTGCTCCAGGACTGGGAATTGTTGACAGTAATGGGTATAAATCCACAATCCATGTAATGTTCTTGATAATTTCAGTTTCTTTTTGACTGATTATACTTAGCTTTTAGTTTGTAAAGTGACCAAGGAAGAGCTTATAAGAGGAATAGGAGCTATTGTCCTAAGAAAGGGGAAATGTCAACTCAGCCATTTTCATGTCCTTTCCTTGTCCTTGAATTATTAGCATTATATTTAGTCTGTCACTTCTCTCAGGAATCTTTTTAAATCACTTGTCCGTTTTGAAAAAGTTATCTTAGTTAAATCTAGGTCATGAATCCACAATCCATTTCACTGAACCCCATGGATCTACCCCTCGGAAAGCTACTGAGTGAGTATGCCTTCAATGCCACCGCCCCCCCACCTCTGCCCGCCACTGGGAAAGTATATGAATGATAACATTTACATTTTTGAGCGGTTTATATCTGAGAATATCTTTCTTGGCGTCACATATACAGGACAACTCTACTAGATATAGACAATCTTGAATTATACCATATTACTATCAAAAACTGGTATTGTCAAAAATTGCTTTCTGGTATTTGGCACGGTATAAGTTTATGGCCAGCTTGGGTTTTTGTTACCTTTAAGTAATCTTTTTTTTTTTTTTAATAAATATTTACAAAATCTTTTCTTTATTCTTGGAATTCCAAAATTAAAGAGCATATGTTGGGTGTTTACTTTTTAAAATTTTTTCCTGGTTTTCTTCAGCCTTGGAAAACTTTTTTTATTTTATCTTTGATTAAAGCTTCTGTGTTTTGTCGTTGTTTTCTTTTTTTCTTACGGAAGCCCCATTATCAGTAGACAGGATCTTCTGGTTTGTATACTTCTGTTTGTCACATTTTCTCTCATTTTTGTCTGCTTAGCCTTGTCTCCTAAGGTTTTGCAAATTGAGATGGGTCCTATCAGAGATTCATGTCAATATCTGGTAGAATCTTTAGCCCTAAATGAAAGGAGAACAAGCAAAGTAAAATGAGAGTAAATTTAAACTTAAAATTTTTTTTTTTCTTTCGTTTAGGGCCATACTTAGTCAGGAATGTGTTTTGTTAAAGAGCTTCTTATCCTTATTAGGGGCAGCAGTCAGGGATAGCTGCCACAGTCTCCCTGTTCTTTGGCAGGCTTGCTGTCCACTGAATATGAGTGACTAGTAAGCTGTTCATGCCAACCCCCTGTCCTGTACTGTCGCTAGAACCCAGAACACTTCCTAGGGCTATTATTGGGGTCCAAGGGCTGAACCTCAACCAAGCTTTGCAAAGAACTCTGCTGATTTCGTTTGTATACTTCCCTTTTGCATGCTAGAGCCTTAAAAGCCAGGCAGGTACTACCCTCTGTCTGCTCTTCTCCGTGCTTTACATCATTGAAATTCCTGGAAATTTCTTTTGTATGTTGGCCCTCTTGCCTACTTTTTTAAGGGTGATGCAGGATTTGTCTTCATTCTCTATTGTTGGTCAGTTTTGTGTAGATCTGAAAGGGAGTCGTTTACACCTTGCCAAGAAGTCAACCTGTTCTCTTCTATGAATACAAGATTGAGAATACTTTGAGGTCAGGAGAGTGGGCACAGATGGCATAAACCAATGAGAAATGGAGACTTGACAATAATCTTAAGTATCCTGATAGAATTTTTCTCATTTTGTTACCTGTGATAATTAGGGTAATTGAATAACAGCAATGGCAATAATCACAACAATTGCCTTGTTAAAAAACTAATGACTACCTGTTACATATATCAATTTGTTTTAATCTCTATATCCACCTTGGAAATTTGGTAGTTGCCTCTCCATTTTATAGATGAACACTCGGAGAAATTAAATAACTTACCTGGTATCACATAACTAATATGTGTGAAGTAGGATTCAGACTCAAATTTATCCTTGAAATTCTCCTCTTTTCTTTGCCGCCAGTCAAACAGCCTAAAGAGTTGTCCAATCTCCAAACCTCTGTGGTCTGTAAAGTGTTGTCAGTTACAGGACTTTGATCATCTGTAGTTGTTTTATTGGTCCGATATACTAAATCCCTCGCTGTGTGGATGAAGTTCATGTAAATAAGAGAAGAGCATTTTTTTAAGATAGTTTTTACGTGTGCAGTTCAATGACAAAAGTTATATACTTCACACTGTGTCAACATTCTCACTATCACTACCCATATTCTTTTACCACTCCTAACGTAGACTGTCTATCCCTAAAATTCTCATCTGTGCATTAGGGTTACTGTTGTCAGTTTCATCTCATACAGATAATTCTTTACAAGAGCATAATTGTCAAGGCAAACGTTCTTTAGTAATTGAGCTACAGTGTTGTTTAGTTTAAAAACAACTTCATGGGGTAGTTTTAGTTCAAGGTTTAAAAATTGTTTTTTAGGCAATGGATTCATTGATTCACCCAGTCTCAAGGGATCCAGTAAGTCTGGTTTCCATGATAATTTGAAGTTCTGTTCCACATTTCTTCATCCTTTTGATAAGGATCCATCTATTAGGTCCTTGATCAAAACATTCAGTAATGGTAGCTGGGCACCATCCATTTCTTCTGTTTTCGTGGCAGAGGAGACAGTGGTTCATGGATACAATTAAACCTGTAGTCCATTTTCTTCTCTGATTCCTGAGTCTCCTTCTTCCTCTGTTGCTCCAGGCAAATAAAGACCAGTTGTTGTATCTTGGGTGGCCACTAGCATGCTTTTAAGACCCCAGGCACTACTCACTGAACAAGGAGGTAGAACAGAGAATCTAAAGACAACATTAGGCCAGTTGACTGGATAGACCCACAAAATTATGACTCTAAACCTCTGAACGAAGAAAACATCTTTCACCCAAGTAGTTGTACCTAAGCAGTATCAACAGCTGCTGCCTTTTCTGGGGGGGTTGTGGGGAGGCTGCTTTTTTTTTTAATTATAGAGTTATATATGACACTATATTTACCAGCTTGCCCCCCCCTTTCTGATGTCCAGCTTAATGATATCAGTTACAGTAGTTAAGTTGTGTAACCATTACCTTTAGTCAATGCCAATTTTCCTATCACTATAGACAAAAATGTACTATTTCCCTCCCTCCTCCACCCCCAGTAACCACTAACCATTTATTTCTATATATTTACCTATTCTTGTCATTTCATGTAAGTGAGACCATACAGTATTTGTTCTTCTGTGGTTGACTTATTTTGCGCAGCACACTGTCTTAGAGATTCATCCATGCTGTAGCATGTATCAAGAGAGAAGGGCATGTTTTATTGTTTCTCTTGTACTGGCTAGAACTTTGACTAGCAGCGGGAAGGTCTTGTTTTCAGTTCCTTGATTTATCATCCACTGTATTTTCTTTTTAAACTAGAGTATTTATTTGCCTTCAGTAGGGATTCTTCCTTTCCTGAAAATGGTTTATATTCTTATATTCCTTATGTAGCTCTCTATGGTTATTTTGATGGTGTACATCTCCTCTCTTGTCTTGAAGCATCCTTCTCTATTGCCACTGCGAACACAGTGTCTTGAACATAGCAGAATCTCAAGAGGTTTTGGTGATGTTGCTGCTGGTTGTGCTTTACTACATCCAATTAGAACAACAACAACAAAAATTAAAATCGGAATAAAAGCAACATAATTGATTACCAAGGAGCATAAAAGGAGCTAGAAAAATATTGCAGTTGGTCGATGCCTGGTTGACAAGAACGTTTTTGTTCTTGCTTCACAATTTTTTTCTTCCAGTTTTTTTTTTTAAACTAAACTTTAGATGAAAGTTTACAAAACAAACTAGCTTCTCATTAAATTCTCATACATTCTTTTATGACATTGGTCAACAACCCCATGACTTGTCAGTACTCTCCCCTCTCCACCTTGGGTTCCTTATTACCAGCTTTCCTGTCCCCTCCTGCCTTCTAGTCCTTGCCCCTTGGCTGGTGTGCCGCTTTAGTCTCGTTTTGTCCCATAGGTCTGTCTAATCGTTGGCTAAAAGTTGCGTCTTTGGAGTGACTTCATCACTGGGCTAAAAGAGTGTCCGGGGGCCATACTCTCCTGGTTTCTCCAGTTTCTGTCAGGCCAGTAAGTCTGGTCTTTTTTTGAGTTAGAATTTTGTTCTACATTTTTCTCCAGTTCTTTCCAGGACCCTCTATTGTGATCCCTGTCAGAGCAGTTAGTGATGATAGCCGGGCACCATCTATTTCTACTGGACTCAGTCTGGTGGAGGCCATAATAGCTGCAGTCTGTTAGTCCTTTGGACTAATCTTTCCCTTGTGTCTTTAGTTTTCTTCATTTTCCGTTGCTCCTGAAGGGGTGAGACAAGGCTTCACAAATTTTTGGCTAGCTCATCCCTTTGATAAGTCTACTCCATAATTAGATTTGTATTTTCCTTTCAGACATATTGGAATTAATAGAACATTCAATAACTGTAAAATGTACCACTATAATTTTAGGATTTTTTTTTGATTCTCGTCTTCTAACTGAATCATATCTATTTTTTTCTCATAGGTTACGCTCTTTGGTCAAACAGTTAGAGAGAGGAGAGGCATCAGTTGTAGATCTTAAGAAGAATTTGGAATATGCAGCCACAGTACTTGAATCTGTATACATTGATGAAACGAGGTAAGCTAAAGACGACAAGAGAGAGCTAGTCCAGTGATGGTAAATTTTCTGTTAAATGGCTTTTCTGAAATTGTCTTCATAGCAGGTATGGAGTAGAATTCAGATTACTGTCTTGGAGCCTTAGCTTCCACAAATAAACTGGGTAGATTTGGACAAGTCACTTCGCCTGTGTGCCTCTGCATGTATAAAAAGAGTTAACAGAATCTATCTTACAGGGCCATTATGACAATGAAGTGAGATAATGTAAGAGGAGAACAAGTAATTTTAAAAAAATCTGGTAAGATTTTTATCAAATGAGTAGTTTCACTGTTATTATTGAATATTGTTAGCCTCAGCCTAAAAATTATATTCCTGTTTTAATTCACAGTGTCTATCAGTGAGTGAAGACTCCTGAAGTGATTGAGAAACATTTGTTCTCTTAAACATCCACTATTTCTCCTTTAATCTTACATTTTTTATGGATTTTCTTAGCAAACTCTTCCCACTTAAATTAGCCAAAAACATTAAAATAGTTGCAGTTACTAAATGCATTTAAAAGTAAAAAAAATTGCTTTTCTTTTGAAAGATGTTGAAATGGCGAATATAAAAGGCTTTATTTTTTTCTAATTCAGATAGGCTTATCTGTCAGTAGTTTTAACATCTTAACTTTTCTTTGCCAAATTCCAATCTGAAAATGTTTCACCGTAATCTCAGGATTATATGGTTTATTTTTTGGTGACGTGCATGGTTCCTAATTTAAGAAGATTTGATGTCATAGTGTTTTTCAGATAAGTGTTGTTTCCTTCCCCTTAATTAATGTGCCTAAAGGAAAACAAAGAAAGCACTTCACATTGACACTTGCTTCTACTGTTTATTTTTAGTAGGGGTTAATATAAATATAAAATATCATCTTAGGTTTTATTTTAACTTACTGTTATTTAATTATGGTTCTATCTAGTGGTCTTCTCTCTGAATAAGTTAGAAAAATCAGCTAAGCACAATGTCAGATGACTTAAATTATATGCGCAAATGAAAAACTGCATTATTTTAAAAGTTTTGTTTGAATTTAGACATTCAAATTTATGTAACATCTTCTAAAATTGGAAAGAATATCAGCTAACATCACTTAAGATCAACACTGCAGACTGATTGGGGCACTTCTTTGCAGTCTTTAAATGTCCTTTCTTTTTTGTTTTTTGCACAAAATATTTGCAAATGGTCCATTTATGAAGTATTCTTTGAATGGCCACTGAGCCTCTCTGTGAGTGCATTTTAAATGGAAGGTTTAAATTCCACTCAAATTCCACAGATCTTCTAGGAGTAAAGATATTAGGTGCTCCTGAGTGCAGGATTCTTGGAACCTAGATGGGATATATCTGACTGCCCCTCGCCCCTTTGTTCCTCTCCTCTCTCTGGTAAAGAGAACCATCGTGAAACACAAATGATGTGCTTTCACAAGCCTTACTAAAAAGGTGCTGCATGTTTTGTGGCCCGTATGACTTGTTTTCTTTGCTCCTTTGTATGCAGGTGTCATGGAGAGAGGGGGAAGCCGTTTTCAACAGAAATCTCTAACTTTAGATTAAATCTCAGTGTCTTGGTTATGTTTTTCACATTCAGACGACTCCTGGATACCGAGGATGAGCTCAGTGACATCCAGTCAGATGCTGTGCCGTCTGAGGTCCGAGACTGGCTGGCTTCCACCTTCACGCGGCAGATGGGGTTGATGCTCAGAAGGAGTGAGGAGAAACCTCGGTTCAAGAGCATCGTCCATGCAGTGCAGGCTGGGATATTTGTGGAGAGGTAAAAATGGCCGCTATTCGATGACCAAAGCAGCAGGTGGAACACCAGTTTCCAGTAGCTTGAAGTTTTGCTTCAATCTAGTTTTGATATCTTTTAAATACTGAAAATTCTGGGTGGAAAGAATAGTGTTGAATAAATAGCAAAACATACCTATTTTAATATCTGCTGCATTTTTAGGACAAGCTTTTGCCTTTGCTCAGAATTCTTTTTATGAAGTAGAGACGGTTTAGTCTGAGTTCAGTTTCTAGTTTTTAAAGAAGGACATCATCCAATCCGTCATTCATTGACATATGTTCATGATGGCTACATGGGGAGCAGGTCAGGGATGCTTTGGGATTGCTGACTCAGGAAGGGCAGTTTATTTGCAAGGGGTTGAGTTTCCGATGACACTCTTCAGTTTTATTAGCCATCTTACTCTTTGAGATTGAATTGCCCTCCTCCTTACCCCAAAACAGATTCTAGAAACATTGTTCCTGTAATCCCTGTTGTACAATTACACATTTATAAATTCCATGTTTACATCAAAATTCACCTAGGCTGTTTCTCTTTCTTGTTTTTGACAGTTCTAAAGAAAATGTTCTTCTAAGTGGGGTGTCTGTCTGAGTTCTTCATTCAGGTTAAAAGTACCATACTTCACACTGCCATACTGCATCATAATTCACTTCTGACAAAAGTAACATGTTTTAATAATTTAATTCCCAATTCTGGGCACATAGACTTAATTTTTTTTTTATTTCCAGTGATTCATGTGTTTAGGGTTGCTTTAATTTGTCCTGAATTTAGCACTTGGCCCACTTGAGTGACTATGAAAAAGGTCATAGAAGAAATTTCTGGTTCCTTGGGTTGCCCGAGGACATGACCTCTAATTATTTGATGTAAGTTTGTGGGCTACTAATCCTTCTTCGTAAGAAGTTACAATGCATTTTCCCCCTCTGACTTTGCCAGAATGTATAGACGGACATCAAACATGGTTGGACTGAGCTATCCACCAGCTGTTATCGAAGCATTAAAGGTAATAGTGAAAAGATTTTAAAATATACATGATACCCTAGAAAAAGTGTAATTAAATTTGTTGTTGTAAAATAAGAGGCTTTTATGTACAGTTCTTTACTCAGTCATTCCTGACTTTTTTTTCTTTCATTTTTTCTTTTCTGTTCCAACAGTATAAATATCTTTTCAGCCTTCTTCCTATATATATTTAATCAAACTGTATGTTGGTTTAACTTCTTTCTACTTAGTCATTTGGTATCACGGAACTCAGGCTATCTTTGGCCATAAGAGATCAAATTTGTTCTGGCTCTAAGTATTTAACATCAGAGGATCTTTGTTGATCATAATGTTATCATTATTTGATCACCTACTCTAAATCCATTTTATAGACAAAGAAAGTAAGACTCAACCACATTTAGTTAGAGATAGAGCTAGGGTTCGACCCCAGAGCTCTTGTCACATGGTAAGCTCTCAGTAACATTTACCTCATGAACGTATGCCCCCAGAGCCCTCATCTTCTCTACGTAGCCTCTTGTTTTCTCAAGAGTCTCACTGAGCCAAACTATTCCATGGGAAGTGACGCAGATGTTTGAGTTTAAATGGGCTAAATGCTGCAGAAGTACTCCGAATCAGGCAAGCTTTTGGAATTGTATACAATATCTCGAAGAGCACCAAAGCAGAAGTATTCCTCTAGGTTTGTGTTAGGTCATATCCACTAGTCTGGGGGTATCCCAGCTGCGCTTAACCTGACTTGGTTTCTGGATGCCAGAGTGGGGCTGTGCTAAGGCCTAGGATCACTGGGCTGGTAGACATTGCATGGTGTCTGCACATGAAGCTGGGTCCACTTGCTTAGGGACATCATCACGTTCCGACTTTTGCTAAAGCCATTGTTGTTGTTCTCTGAAACCTGAAAAATACATTACCTGGTGATATTTTCGGAGGACAGTTTTAAAAGTTCATGGAATCAGGGGTGAGAGGGCTTCTTAATTAATTCAATGTCAGGAAAGAACCCTTTAGGGCCCTTTGATTATACATTCCTAGTTCTTTCTGTCATCTATGAGACATTCACTGGCTGAATTTGTGAGACCCTATATACATGAATTTTCACTTCTCCCTTTTCTGTCTCTACATTTTTTGTTTCTTCTTAACTCCTGTTAAGAGCAAGAAGAATACTCACAGCTGGAAGACATGCATGTTTTCTCCGGTTCCTCTTCAACCCCCACTCTAATGCCCAATACATTAGTGTAATTTACAGTGACATTTCCCGTATTAATCAGTGAAATCCTTCATGAGATCTGGTGTTTCATAACACCCAGTATGAAGTTGCATCGATTTTTCATAATTGAATCTGAAGCACTCAGTGAAAGTCTTAGAAACAGTAAAACCATCTTTTACCTTTAATTTATTCCTTTACCATGAACATAAATACGGGTGGGTTTACACGTACCAAGAAATTTATGCAAATATTTCTTACAAACTGAGGCATCTTTTCTGTGCAGAACAACTGAAGAAAATGTGGAACAACCTATGATGCACACGAATTGTTACTTCACGCTTAGGAAAGAGTAATTTGTAGATGCACACACATCTTTTTGAGGGGAAGGATGCTTAGTTTATTCACACAAGGAATAAATAACTACCAACTGTCTAAATGTCTACACTTGTCCACATATACTGCTAAAACTACTATTTCTCCTGGCTCTGTCCGCTGAATCCTGAGGAAGTTCAAGATCTTTTTAGAATCTAATATTTCCTCACTTCCCCAGACTCTGGTTTTCTTTGCAGTGGATTGGAGTTGAGTTGGAGAGATTACAGAGGTTGATTCTTCTTTTTTTTTATGTGGTGCCTGCTAGAAAAAGGTTATTTCCACTTCACTGCCAGCAGTTTACATGGGATCACTACTCTTTTCTTCTGCTACAGAAATTTTGCCCAAAGACTGAGAGAATACAGTCTAATAAAATAAGCATCGTGCTACTATCCTAGTAACCTTTGTGATTAATGTAAGGGCAAGACATAAAATGGCGTTTAAGGAAGAGAATAATTAGTCACTACCAATCTGTAAATTTGAAATACATTGCTTTTTTGTTCTTTTTCTTTTTTTCGATCAATATATACTAGTTTCTACTTTTAGGGTGTTTTATCTCTAGTCTTCTGGGGTGGAGTTATTGAAAGTGGAGAAGTATGCTGTTCTTTAGGAGAGCATTATTGTGTGACTCAGGAAGAGACCCATTTGGACAGACTCCAAGCTTAAAGTGGGAGGAAAGGAAATGAGGAGGTTCAGGTTTCCTTTATGTGAGACTCATAGGAAGTTCGTGCAGTTTCTCCACAGGAATGGTCCTCGTATGAAGTTTAGGTTAAAGCAATTAAAGTGTGTGTTTGTTAAAATGCAGATTCCAGGCCCTGCCACCAGGATTCTGCAGAGCTCCCCATCCTAGAATCAGCTTCTTTACTGATCACCCCAAGTGGATCTGAAGAACATTAAAAATTGAGAATCACAGCTAAGGCCTCCCTAAAATGAGGGTCAGAGATGCAGAGGACATCCACCTCACTGTCTGTATTTACTCTTCTTCTTGATTCTGAGTTCTAATACTCAGAGTGAAGTTTTGCTTTTTTTAATATGGTACTTTCTATATTTCCAGTGATAAAGAACTGTTCTCTTTTTTATTTATTCTGGAGACTAGGATTAAAAATTGTCAGACATGACAAAGTGTTTTCCAACCTATTTAGTTGTCAGTGGAATTTTACTTAGGACTTACGGTCAGACAAGGGATTGGGCTTCTGACAATGCTGATTTGTAGTAACCTACATGAAGCTTTAAGTCTTGGATTAATCTGAAATGGCCCCAGTGTCTATGGCCTGGGCCCTAGTGGGATATTGCGAGGCCTAGGTCACGGTATCTGTTCATATATTCATTGAGTTTACCACGTAAACTGCCATCCGTGAGATCAGTAAAGGGTATCTCAGTGGGACTCTTTTCTGGTTCTGCTACCGTATGGAATTAGACCCTTTATTTCATTTCTCTGAATTTACCATCTGTAAAATTGGAGAAAATCTGGAAAATCTGAGGAGCCCTGGTGGTGCAGAGGTTAAGCGTTTAGCTGCTAACCGAAAGGTTGGTGGTTCGAACCCACCAGCGACGCCACAGGAGAAAAGACCTGGAGATCTGCTCCCGTAAAGATTACAGACTAGGAAACCCCATGGGGCAGTTCTACTCTGTCATGTAGGGTTGCTGTGAGTTGAACTTGATTCGACAGCACACAACACCACCTATTTCTGGAGTTGTAAAGTTTTGTGAGTGTATGTCAACCCTTTACACTGTGCCAGGCACAGAAAATGTGCTCAACAACTGTAGCTATTTCTCAGTTATTATAATGGAAGGCCGAGATGAAGTTGTCACAAAATATGAATTGAAACAATTTCAGTTGAAAGTGAAACCCTTTTGGAAAAGTTTGTTTTTCCCAATATCAGTTTTTCTGTGCCCTGGCATTTGTGAGAGAGACTCTTGATGCCACTGGATGAATTTGACGGTTAGAGTGGTTAGAAAGGGACGGGATTGTGATTCATGGACCAGGTCAGGGAGCAGCAAGGACTGGGAAAGAACCATTCCCATCAGTAGTTCTGAAGAAGCTGAATTCTGTAGCTGGGAACCATCTGAAGCCTTGCCTGTAGTCTGTGTGATCTCACGTGGATTCTTACTGTTTGTTCAAGTCAGTAATTTTCTTTAAAGTAAGACTCTTGGCATGATGAGAAACCAGATGACTGTTGCTTTAACTATATTGCATAAACACACCATTGTTTACCCACAAGTAGCTGATTATGATAGGTCAGAGGCTCATCAGACAATGTGTACATACATTTTGGAGTAGCTATTTATAAACAAGGAGCTCTGGTGGCTCAGTGGTTAAGAGCTCGACTGCTAACCAAAATTTTGGCAGTTCAGATCCACTAGCCGCTCCATGGGACGAAGATGTGGCAGTCTGCTTCCATAAAGATTTACCGGCTTGGAAACCCTATGGGGCAGTTCTACTCTGTCCTATAGGGTTGCTATGAGTCAGAATCAACTTGACGGCAATGGTTTTTTTTTCTTTTAATTTTTTATTTTATTTATATACAAAGAACACTTTGAACTTTAAGAACGATGTATAGGAGTGTGTTCAGTTTAGGTTTTTTGGTTTTTTTTTACTTTTTTCAGTAAAGTGACTTAGGGATTTGAGGACTAGATCTCCAGGTTAGTGACTCTAAAACTGATAGCATTTTTCTGTCCCATGATATGAATGCATTCTTCTAGGTTTACCTTGATTTCAAATTCAGCAGTTTAAACTGAAGGGACACATTATTACATTTTCTATAGCCTTCATGTTTCTGGGTACTTTTAAATGCGTTAGCATTCTCGACTGTAGACTAGAGGAAGTCAGTGGAGAGGGTCAAGGGGTTGGGAAGAAGCACCATAGGTTATTGTGGAGTTAATTAAGTATTTGAAATTAAACAGTGGCATCTGAAGGGCATAATGGAAAGAGCCTGTACTTAGATGTCAATTAAACTTCATGATGCCAACTCGTAGCGACCCTATAGGACAGAGTAGAACTGCCCTATAGGGTTTCCAAGTAGCGGCTGGTGGATTTGAATTGCTGACCTTTTGGTGAGCAGCCATAGCTCTTAACCACTGCACCACCAGGGTCTGTTTGCATTTGGACTCCACGTGTGTCCCTACCACTTACTCTTGGTTAGTCTTAGGGAAATTAGGTCATGTTTCAGTTTCCTGGGTGGCACAGGCTCTTTGCAATTGACTGCTAACCTAAAGGTTGGCAGTTTGCACCCACTAGTAGCACCGTGGAAGAAAGGCCTGGAGATCTGCTTCAGTAAAGATTACAGCCAGGAAAACCCACTGGAGCAGTTCTACTCTTATGAGTCAGAATCAACTCAACAGCAACAGGTTTGGTTGTGTGTGGTTTTTTTCTTCAATTTTTTCATTTATAAAATGTTACTAATAATAACTACCACTTAGGATTGTCTTCAGAATAAATTACATGTTTATCACCAGTCACAATGCCTAGCATACAGCAGGTGCTCAATAAATTGTGTTATTATTATGTTGTTGTTTTAGTAATAATAGTAGTTAATATTTTAACAGCAAATGCTGCGTAGGACTTCCAAGTTGGAAAGAGTTTGAGAATGGGTGGGTTTAGGGTTTTGGCCCTGGCCTGTGAAATCTTGACTGAGGACTGCATGGCTGACCCCAATGTGGGGAGATTAACGGCTGCTGAGTGGCTGTGGACTAATGCATTCTTTCTCCCCACCTTGTCCTGCAGGATGTGGACAAGTGGTCCTTTGATGTCTTTTCCCTCAACGAGGCCAGCGGGGACCACGCACTGAAATTCATTTTCTACGAATTACTCACACGCTATGATCTGATCAGCCGTTTCAAGGTCAGTGACGAGTACACAGGTTTCATTTCTTCCCCTCAGCCACAATTTAAGAGCACATTAAAAATAAATAAATAAATAAACTGCACACATTTGGCCATCCTTGTTTGACTTTTGGGCCAAGACCAAGAAATGCCCTTTAATGTCGACAGAACGCTGTGCTGAGTGACTTGGGACACGTCCTCGGGACAGTTGCTGTAGGGAGCTCCTCTGTGGTGGGAACTATTCATTACCCACTTACCTGGTGGTGTCATTGGCAGGGGAGAGGCTGGAGAAGCCCATTTAGAGCCCAGTCTTGCTAGAAGTACAACCCAAAGCCTGAAATAGCCGAGCTCCCCTGCGGGCTCTCCCGGCAGATTTCATTTTGACGTGACGTTGTATCCTATCGACCACCGCCTTCGGAGTGACAATAATGGAGACAGAGTATGCACCTACTGTCTGCAGACTTTTTTTTTCCCACCTCTTGGCTCATTCAGACAAGTACTATCACTTATCATCTGTGACAGATCATTGGTATTTCTCAGCCATTCATACTTCAAATTAATTCTTCGACTTTAAAAAGAGAGCGTGCATCTTTTCCAATGTTCAACCCCCTCAGCCTTCGAATATCACAGACTCTTGAGATCAGGCCAGGTTCTCAAGGGAACCTTTGTATTCATCTGCCAACATCTATCATATCAATGACTCGGGCTTCTCTCAGCAGACAGATGAGCCTGTGGAAAATGCAGGTCATTTTCTGTCAAACATATTGATTTCTCTGGATATCATGGTTCTTTATCACTGTCTGAAGGACTGAGTTTTGGGAACATATTTCTTTCTTTTTTTAAAGTGCAGACATAAAAGTTATTAATAGGTGACATATTTGCATTGATTCAACAATAAAGTCACATAATAATGGAAACATTTTCAACATCCTGTTTTCAAAATGCTCTCTTTGTATATAAATTTCTTACAAGTAGCAGTTACTTTCTCTCTCATTATTAAAATGTCACCTGTAACTTTGAGGGATAAAGATTTATTTTGTCGTTTTAGTTATTTTTTTCTTTTTAATTGTGCTTTAAGCGAAGGTTTACAGAGCAAGTTAGTTTCCCATTCAATAGTTGATACACAAATTGTTCTGTGACATTAGTTACAATCCCCACTATGTGTCGTACTCTCCCTCTTACCACCCAGAGTTCCCCATTTCCATTCTTCAGGTTTTCCTGCCCCTTCCTGTCTTCTCATCTTTGCTTTTGGGCAGATGTTGACCTTTTGGTCTCATATACATGATTATTCTAAGGAACACTTTCCTCCCGAGTGTTACTGTTTATTTGATAGGCCTGTCTATTATTGTGCTGAAAGGTGATCTCTAGGAATGTCTGCCGTTCCAGATTAGAAGGGCGTCTAAGGCTCATAGTCTTGGGGGGTTCCTCTGGTCTCTCGGACCAGTATATCTGATCTTTTTTATGAATTTGAATTTTGTTCTACATTTTTTTCCCCACTCTAACAGAAACCTTCTATTGTGATCCTGGTTAAAGTGGTCAATAGTGGTATCTGGGCACCATCTATTTCTTCTGGTCTCAGGCTAGTGGAGGCTGTGGTTCCTGTGGTCCATTAGTCCTTTGGACTAATTGTTGCCTTGAGTTCTAATTGTTTCCTTTGGTTTTCTTTACTGTCCTTTGCTCTGGACAGAAAGAGACCAATAGTTGTATCTTAAATGGCCACTCGTAAGTTTTTAAGACCCTAGATGCTACTCATCAAAGCAGGAAGTAGAACTTTTTTTATGAACTGTCATGCCAATTGACCTAGATGCCCCCTGGGACTATGGTCCTTAGCCTTCAAACCCAGTAACTCAGTCCCACAAGGTGTTTGGTTATGTCTAGTAGTTTCCATGACTGTGCCCCGTGTGCTCTGTTATATACACGAGTATACGTGCAGCACGTACAAATGTGGAAATATCCACAGCCAAACCTATATATGCATGTGGGTGTACTCCCGTACATCCTCCCACACCTATTCAGCATGCATATCTACCTATGGATCCACTCATAAATTATTGTTTTTTATTCCTGTTGTTGCAGGATTTTACATGTTACAGTATTTACCATCATTTCCTTTTATTCTTGTGTACCTCTCAGTGTCTTCCCTTGACTTGGCTATGTTGTGCTGACTTCCCTCATACTGTGTCCCGCCTTTCCCTTCACCAAAGTTAACACGGTTTACTATCTAGTTAGTGATTTTCCCACCCTTCCCCTCCCATCCCTGGTAACCATCAAAAAATGTTTCTTTCTGTGTGTAAACCTTTTCTTGACTATTTATAGTAGTGGTCTCATACAGTATTTGTCTTTTTGTGATTGACTTACTTCACTCAGCATAATGTCCTCCAGATTCATCCATGTTGTGAGATGTTTTGTGGATTCATCCTTATTCTTTATCGTTGCATAGTATTCCATATGTACCAAAGTTTGTTTATCCGTTCATCCGTTGATGGGCACTTAGGTTATTTCTGTCTTTTTGCTGTTGTGAATAATGCTGCAATGAACATGGGTGTGAATATGGCTATTCTTGTCACAGCTCTTACTTCCCTAGGATCTATTCCTAGGAATGGAATTGCTGGATCGTTAGCATTTCTATTTCTTGCTTTTTAAGGAAGCATCATACCATTTTCTATAGAAGTTGTACCATTTTACATTTCTACCAGCAGTGTATAAGAGTTCCGGTGTCCCTAGAGCCTCGCCAGCGTTTGTTATTTTCTGTTTTTTTGATCAGTGCCATTATTGCTGAGGTGAGATGGTATCTCATTGTAGTTTTGATCTGCATCTCTGTAATGGCTGATGATCGCGAGCATCTCTGTAGGGTAGCTATGAGTCACAATCGACTCGACGGCAACAGGTTTGGTTTTTTGATCTTTATGGTTTTAAGTTTTACATTTAGGTCTTTGATCTATTTTAAGTTAGTTTTGTGTATCATGTGAGATATGGATCTTATTTAATTTTTCTGTAAATGGATATCCAGGTTTGCCAGCATCATTTGTTAAAGAGACTTTCTCTTCCCCATTTAATGAACTTTGACCCTTTGTCAAAGATCATCTGTTCATAAGTGGATGGATTTACTTCTGGGTTCTCAGTTCTGTTCCATTGGTCTACGTGTCTGTCATTGTACCATTACCATGGCTGTATAGTAGGTTCTGAGACTGGGTAGTGTGAGGCTTCCTACTTTCTTCTTCTTCTTAGGAATATATTTTTTACTTTGTGGCCAACTAACTTTATGGCTAACCAACCAACCAGTTGGTGTTGAGTCAGTTCCAACTCAGTGCAACCTCACACGTGTCAGAGTAAAACCATGCACCGTAGAGTTTTTAATGGCTGATTTTTTGGAAGTTGATCACAAGGCCTTTCTTCCAAGGTGTCTCTGAGTGGACTCAAAGCCCTAGCCTTTCAGTTAGCAGCCAAGCATGTTAACTGTTTGTGCCACTCAGGAACTCACTTTATGTCAGTGGTCCTTAATTTGTTTTACATTAAAAACTTGCTTGAGTATCCAGTGGAGGGTTGAGACCCTCTCTTAGAGCAAAGTTCCTATGGACATACACCCACCTTTACCTGGCATTTCCGTGGCTTTGTAGCAGGGCTTTGAACCGGTTTGCTTTGGTTCAAACCCCTGCTGAGAATTTGCATTTCCACCCTAGATATACTGAATCAGAACCTGTATTTTAACAAGATCCCCAGTTAATTCTTATGCATAACTTCCTGGGAACTTGTTAGAAATGCAGATTCTTAACAGGGGTTCAAACCAGAATGAACCAATTGGAAGCCCTGCTTCATAGATCTCTGAAGGATAACCCAAGGAACCCAGGTTCATTGGATCTTCATTTTTAAAAAATGGAAGTGCATTCATCTCTGACTTCTAAAATGCCATAATTTAAAAAAATCCACAAATGATAAATTTGCAAAAATATGCTCAAGGAAGAACCTGGGATGGAATCTCATCAAACATTACCAGAGCATTTACATTATTCTTTCTTGCTAATGTGTTTGGTAATCTCCTGGGGCACACACTCTCTCTCTTACCCCAACCTTGTACTTGATAATTTACCCTAAACCATGAAATTGGTTCAGAAAACTAATAAAATAAATGTTTTCAGGGTCCCCTTATTTTGTACAGGCATTTTGCAATTGTTCTTCACTTTCTGCTACATACAAAAGGAAGGAAGGCATATACACATGCGTAGTTGAGGCTGAAAAGTAACTATGTTGGTAGGAAGTATTTTTCTAAGTTACTGGTAGTTCCAACAAAGGCTCAAGTCTTTTACTCCTTGCTAAATAAATTAATGTGAGGTTCACCCTTCAGCCAAAGATTAGACAGCCCCATAAAACAAAACGAGACTAATGGGGCACAACAGCCCAGGGGACAAGAACTAGAAGGCAGGAGGGGATAGGAAAGCTGGTAATAGGGAACCCAAGGTCGAGAAGGGAGAGTGTTGGCATGTCGTAGGGTTGTTACCCAATGTCATAAAACAATATGTATAGTAACTATTTAATGAGAAACTATTTGTTCTGTAAACCTTCATCTAAAGTACAATAAAAAAGATTAATTAATGTTTACTGTGCCATTTATCTCTCTTTGTTTCTTTTTTTTGGTGGAAAAGCAAAAAGTACCTGGAGATCTTAAGTTATAATAGTGTTGCAAATCAAACACAAACTGCCACCAGTAGTGAAGTAAACACTGACCTCCTGAAAACTATGCCTTCTAAAAGGAGTGACTGCATGCATCAGACACATGAGAAATAAATAAACCAATGATAGTATAAGGTTATATATGGGAATGAGAACAAGTTATATTCTTATGCTTATTACTTGGTAATTTATTATTGGTCACTTGCAATTGGGAAGGTCTCATTCCACTGATATTGTGTTACAAAAAATGAATGATTCCACACACAGTAATTATTAGTACTATTTCAATGTTTCTCAAATAATGTTCAAGAAAACATTGCTTGTTGTCCCCCGTAGCATCTCGTCTCATGTGGGACTAGGAGGAAGGGGTATTTAAGAGTTAGATGAAGACAGAGAAGTAACAGAATTTTAGCACAATCACCAATAACTTAATTTTCTACATGTGCATCATAAGTCATTGCTTTACATGTGAACAAAACTAAATGTCTTCTGAGATGAATCTGTGTCATTCCACTGGGGCTCTGAACTGGGGAAATTAGGACAATTTGCAAGGAAGACTGTTCCTAAACCAGAGACTTCCTGTTAGAGTTCCAAATTATCTGATAATTTATTAGTGATTTTTACTATGAAACTTTTAATTTCTTCCTTTGATACATTATGCCTCCAGAAGGGGACAGTGACGGTGCCTTAGACTTTTGTCTCTTCACTTAAAGTAATTAAATCACTAGTTAATTAACCTTGCTGCTCTCTTTCAGATCCCCATTTCTGCACTTGTCTCATTTGTGGAGGCCCTGGAAGTGGGATACAGCAAGCATAAAAACCCTTACCACAACCTGATGCATGCCGCCGACGTTACACAGACTGTACATTACCTCCTTTATAAGACAGGGGTGGCGGTAAGTACAGAGAGGAATGCTTAGATTATACACAAAACGCGATGGTGCCTTTTTTAGTAGAGGATGTTCCTCTTCCAATGAGGTGGAGCCCCCGGGGGGTACTGTTTTGTGGACTTCCAGTTCTTTAAAAGGCATCTAACCGAGTCATGGAAAGTCTTGGGGCTCCCTGTTGCCCCTAAAATTTTCTCCAGCCTGGACTTGAAGAAACAGATAACTGGAAGTGGCTTGCATCCTCCTAGGTTATGACCAATTCACCTAAAACTAAATACGTTTCCAGATACGGAGAGTGGTACCGTAACCTCTTGCTATGATCACCAACAATGAGGTTCCCATATATTGAAACTCCATTGAGTTTATTTGGCAACCGTGCTACACAAAGTTTGCTTTTGGTTTGAACTGCTAGGTCTTTTTCACAGGGACTGTGGTTATTTTTCAAGGAGCCTTGTGGCACAGTGGTTAAGTGCTTAGCTGCTAACCGAAAGATTGGCAGTTCGAATCCAGCAGCTACTCCGTGGGAGAAAGGTGGCAGTCTGCTTCCGTAAAGATTACAACCTTGGAAACCCTATGGGGCAGTCCTACTCTGTCCTACAGGGTCACTGTGAGTTGGGATCAATTCCATGGCACACAACAACAATGGTTATTTTCATGGTATTTATGTGCATTTGAATTTTTTGTTATCCTAAGTGTCAAACTTTACTTCTAACCATTTGAAATTTGTCTTGGTTGTCTGGACTCGACATGGATGTGTTTTGGATCTCTGTTCTGTAATCTATTCTATTAGCTAACCTGTTCAACTTTGCCTTCTGTGCTTCCATCTAAAAGTATAGCCGTTAGTGACAAAAAACAGGTCTCTATGACTTTTTAAGGGGCCCTTGTGGCATGGTGGCTGAAGCAATAGACTGCTAACTGACAGATCAGCAGTTCAAAACCACCAGTAACTCTGTGGGGGAAAGGTGTGGCAGTTAGCGTCCTTAGAGATTTACATCTTTGGAAACCCTGTGGGGTCACTATGAGTCGGAATCAACTCAATGGCAGTGGGGTGACTTTTTACTTTGAAATCGCCTTCAGAATTGACATCAAGATAGATATTCTTTGGGTATAGCGATTAATTAGCCCAAAAACCCAGTACACATTTGTCATCTTCTGTGCTGGGGCATGTTGAAAGACTTGGTCTAGTATCTCACCGAATTAAAAACAGAATACAGTGGGAGGAGTGTGGGCTTCGGAGCTAGATGTAGTTGGATATAAATCCCTCCTTAATTACTTATTAGATTTTGTGACCTGTGAAAAATTGCTTCAGTGTCTAAGACAGGATTTCATTTCTAAAACGGTGAAAAACATTCTGACTTGCAGAAGTGCTGTGATGATTAAGAATACATTAAATACTCTGCTTGCCTAATAAAGAAAGCTCAGCAATTAGGAATTGTTATTAAAACTTTGTTAGATTTTCCCAAAACCTCTTATCATTTTTCATTTCTTCCTTGATGTAAAGCTGATTTCCTAGAAAATATTATTTAAAAAGCTATTTTTTAAAAAATATATACCCTGCAAAGGGAGCTTGTTTAACTTGATAAAAGTTTCCTACCAGAAACGTAGAGCAAATGTCATACTTAATGGTGGTTCCATTGAAACATGGAACAAAGCAGGGATGCCCAGTTTACTACTGCTATTGGAAACCCTGGTGGCGTAGTGGTTAAG